AGCCAGCGTTTACTCAGTCTAGGGCAGTGGGCGAAGAGTTCCCCTCCGCGGGGCTCCAAGTGGAGCAGGGGAGATGAAAAAGGGTACAGGCTGATATAAATACCTGGAGTGGTCTACAGCTAAGAATGCCGGAGACGAAGAGTTAAAAGCAATCAGCTGTGAGTTCTCTGCAGCGCTCCCTTTCCCCTACTTACATCCCTCCTCTTCACTCCCCCGCCCCGCACCCCTGTTCCGTCTGGGCCCCAGGACCCAGAGAAAGAAGAAAGGCCTACTAGACTATTTCACTCCTGCTGGCGCGGCTACGTGGGGCTCCCGACTTTTCTTCCAAAACCAGAGCATTTATTTGTTGCAGTTAATAGTTTTATTGAGATCATTCTCAAGAATATTCGGGAAAATTCTCATACGTACATTGCACCCATTGCAAGTGGACCATTCTGTGATGTTTACTGTATTCTCAGAGTCGCTGGATCCTCATCACTAATTTCAGAACAAAACAAAACACCAAAACCCCTCTGCAGTCGCTCCTCATTCTCCCCTCCTCCTAACCCATGGCAACCACTAATTTTACTTTCTGTTTCTATAGATTTGCCTCTTCTCAATACCAGGGCATTTCTGTGACATGTTACCCCACTGTGTGAAGTCAGGGCCCCACGAAAACAGGTGGCTGGGAGTGGGGAGCAGAGGTAAAGTCTCCCCTGGGCTCTAGGCAGCCTGGGACCTGTCCACAAGAAGCCACCCAGGTGTTTGGCAGGAGAGGGAACGGGAGGAGGCGAAAGGCCCTTCAGGGAGAAAGCAGGGTGCTGGCTGAGAGGCCTAGAATAGGGGAGAAAGGGAGTGGGGGGTACAAGGTAGCCAGCCTTCAAGTGTCCTGGTCAAGGTCAAGGCTGGACTGTCCATCTGCATCCATCCTTCAGCCTCTTATTGCCAAGGAAGCCAAACCCCTGTCTGTTCCACATCTGAGTAGTTAGTTGAGGGAGTCATTGTTTCCTGATTTGGGTCCTCTTGTTGCCCCCAACTCCCCTCCACGTGTATCCTGACCTTGGATACAGGAGCTAGAAAGAGAAACAGGGAGAAGGGAGGAGGGCGGGGCATGTGGGAGAAGCCCAGAGGTGGAGCGGGGGAGCTGGTGGGGAGGAGGAAGAGGGTGGAGGATAGGTGGGGCTCAATCTATAAAGTGGAGAAGGCTGCTGGCTAGTGGGCAGGAGAGCTTGGCATACGCTCCAGAGGACCAGGGACCCCATAGGCTTTGGTAAGTGCTCCCTCCCCCAACCGCAACTGAGACCAGCAGCTGATTCAGGAAAGACTGTCCCCCTCCTATGCTGCCTGCCTCCCTTGCAGAGGGCTCTGGCTCCAGATGAGGGGGGCAGGGTATTCCCAATGCCTGCTACTTTCCATTTGGGGTCTACCCCCCCCCCC